GGAGGGTCTTGTGTCCTTCGAGGAGGTGGCTGTGTATTTCTCTGAGGAGGAGTGGTCTCAGTTGAATCCCCAGCAAAAAGCGCTGCATTGGGAAGTCATGCTGGAAAATCGTAGGACCGTGGCCTCTCTGGGTAAGGGTTTACTACTCTCCCGTCAGAGAGTTTGGGAAGACATTTTGCAGTTATATGCCATCAGCTATTTCTTTTTTAATATTCTTTTTTAAAGCTATTGCTTTAATTTTATTAAAGAAATTTTATCAGAGTAAAAAGTTTTGAATAGGAAATAAAGAAGATAAAGTAATACGAGAATAAGAAAAAAGTATAAAGAAAGAAGAAAAAAGGAAAATAAGAAAATAAGAAAAAATAATAAAGTGCTTCCGATCTTTTCAACAGCAGTTATAAATGGTACATCATTTTAGAAAAGGTCTCTTTTAGATTATAACATAATGTAAATTTCAGTCCTTTCAACCAAATTTTTTCCTGTTGTTCCATCTGTATATTATGACCAAAATTCTTGACCCATTTTATCGTACATTCTTTAATCCGTTTATATATTTTAACAATTATATGTTCATCATTTATACATAATTCAGGTTCAAATTCTGTCTTAGGTTGCTTAATACCATAGGTCCTTTTATCTGCCTTGAATATTTCTGATAACTCTCAATATGAAAATCATTGACAATTATATTCCTCTGCCATCAATTGCTCTCTTGACTTCATTTGGTATTCCCCTTGCTCATGTTCTAATAGCTCTTGACATGTTACTCCTTTGTCTTTGCCTGCTTCTCTTCTATAAAATGTTTATTGTGCTAAGAGCCATAAAGGTGTTTTTGGGCACAGTCAGGGTTTATATATGTTCCATATTCTCAATATGGCATTTCTAGCATCATGGTTTTTAAAATCTACATTAACCTTAACTTTATTGTACCGCAAATATCCATGCCTTCCAAACCTCAGGTAATGCTGTTCTAGTTCTAAAATTCTCTTATTTCTCAGCAACACCCATTCTTTCATCCAAACAAAACAGCAGGCTGCAAAGTACAATTTCAAATTGGGCAGACCCAATCCTCCTCTTTCCTTTGCATCTTGGAGAATTTTATATGCAACCTGTGGTTTTTTCCTTTGCCATACAAACCTAGATCTATCTTTCTGCCATTGCTTAAATTGCATATCAATTGTCAAAAGAGGTGCTGCTTGAAACAAAAACATCATTCTAGGCAAAACATTCATTTTCATCACAGAAATTCTCCCCTACAATGACAGTTGTAATTTCTTCCATCTTAACATATCCTTCTTAATTTCATTCCATGTCTTAACAGAATTCTTTTGAAATAACAGACAGTTCATACAGTATTGGTTATAGTAATACTCAAGTATTTTACTTTTTTCTCATTCTTAAAACCACTTTTTCTCATCCATTCAATTCGATCTTCCATTCTCATATTTTTTGTTAACATCTTCGTCTTTTGATTATTAATCTTAAAACCCGCTAAAATACCAATTCCTTTAATTTTTCCATTAGTATTACTGTTCCTTCTAAAGGATCTTCCAGAATTACCACCAAATCCTCAGCAAATGCCTTGAGCAGTAGAGACTAAGGGCATCCTTGTCTTGTCCCTTTTTGTATCTCACAAGGTTTTGTTAACTCCATTTTTTGTTGTTCAGTCATTAAGTGATGTCTGACTCTTCGTGATCCCATGAACCATATCACACCAGCCCTTCCTGTCCTTCACTGCCTCCCTGAATTTGCTCAGTTTCACGCTCATAGCTTTGGTGATGCTATCTAACCATCTCATCCTCTGTCGTCCCCTTCTCCTTTTGCCTTCCATCTTTCCCAGTATCAGGGT